GAAGTCGACTCTCTCTCCCTTGCCAACTTGATCTCTGCGCACGATACAAGGATTCCTTGGAGAATTGAGCCAGCAGTTTCTTACGTTCGATCCACTCTTAGTTTATGGGGTTCCAGTATACGACATATTTACAGGGAAGCCAATCACGTTGCGGACGCTCTTGCAACAGCTGGCCTCGGTTTTAACACTTCAAAAATTTTTCATACTTTACACTCACTGCCTTCTGCGGCTAAGCTGGCCTTATTTTTTGATGTAAGGGGTTTTCCACGCGTCGGGCTATTCGTCGCCAATAAAACATGTTTTTCATTGAAAAAAAAAATACAAGCTAGCCCCCCTACCGCCCCATGAGAATAGGGTGGGCGGTTGGATCACGGTTTGACTGTACTGTGTTCGCATGCACACGCCCGAGGCCCCGGGATGCCTCCATTGAAGCCGCCCTTCGCTACATGGCCCCCGGGTCATGGCCGCCCTTATCTGAGGTCGACCCCGGGGTCGAACTCCATCAAGGTCGTCCTTGGCCAAGGCTGAGGTCGACCTCGACCTTGGTCGGGGTCGACCGCGACCTTGGCCAACGTCGACTTTGGCTGAGGTCGCCCTTGGCCCCTCATGTCGCGACATCTCCCTTCCGGCTTGGTTTGCCCCGATCCCATATCAAATATCTCCCATTGGTAAAAGGGTGGTATGACCAGAAGAGTAGAACAAAACTATAGGATTCCTCCGTTTTATATTTTTATGTTGACTTTTAATTTGAGTGTTGCAACCATTTGTAGATTTTTTTTATGACAATGAAAACCCATAACGACTACTGGAAGGTATGTGTTGGGTGAATCTTATTCTTCGATAATAGCCCGTATACTACCCAGGAGAAGTAACTAGACTAGGAAGACCATATATATACTTTAGTCTTGACTTTTAAATTTTTTTTATTTTACACGTTGATGATGGTGTCAATATAGAGTACAAATTTGGAGCTGTTAGTAATATATAAACATATTTTTGGATGTCTTATTTGCAATTTTATAATATGAAGGTAGGTTTTTCTGTTTTTTTAATTAACTTTTGTTTAAATTAGTTTGCAATATTTGGTCTAAAGTTACCTCCTATTGACTATTATGACATTTTGAATCAAGTATTAATTAGCTTTATGTTTATCATTTAACGTTATATTTGATATACCAACACAAATGATATTAAGATATATCATGCAAAGAATTCATGTGATAGCTAATATTTTGACCAAAAAAATTATATTTTTGATCCATGGGTACTATTAAGCAGTAGCGATATAATCATTTAAATTCACATAAGATATTTTGATCATATGACATACTGTATTACTAATTTGTAATGATTAATTAAGTAATTAATGTGGTAAATCCCACCGGTATATGTGTTCGTATGTTATTGAGTGACGTATTTGAAAATGGTAGCTCGGGTTACAATGTCCGAGGGTTGGAGGTTCCCGAGCTTATAAGGGCTCTAGAGAGAGAGAGAGAGAGAGATAGAGCTGAAAATCCCTCGCATAAGCGTCTAGCGAGGTATTTATAGGCAAGAGGAGTGTGACACGTATCTCTCATGCACCCGACGGCCTCGAAAGCCTATGGAAGAGTGTACACATGCACAAATATGTCTGATCTATATATCTAGCCAATTGCTATTGGGGTTGGTTTGAGTGCTACTATCGCCCGGAATCTCATCCAAGTAAGCAGGTCGAAACCAAACATATATAAGAAGGTAAAGGCAGAGGCTCCTTAAGCCATAAAGACGTTCAACCATCAGGCTGGGTTGGTCAGGTACGATATTCATGTCTGGTCAAATCGGGAAGTGACTCTTGCCTTGCGGTGACTTGTATCCGACCATGTCCTTAGTATAAAAGGGGACGTAGCGCATGGTATGTTCTCTATCAATGATATTACCACTACAATTTAGCACAAATGTAAAAACGTTAGTTCAAAAACATGACGACTCTTAGTTTTTTTTTTTTTCTTCTTCTAGAAATAGTAAATGTGTGTTTAAGCTTTCAATATTAGTGTTAAATTATGAATTATTTTAATTATAGCCTGCCAACATGTCAATTAAATTGTCTTACTTGCCGGTAGTTAGCCTTTGGAATCTCCAATTAGGAATTTTTAAAGTTTTTTATTTTACAAGTTGGCCATATGAGGCATAACAATTGTATTAAAAAAAAAAAAAAGTGAATAATGTATTCCCTTGTATATGTTGATGATGATGTCAATGCAGACTACAAATTTGAGATTGTTAGTAATATATAATAAAATAAATTTGGAATTGTTTGAATGTCTCATTTACCATTACAATATGAAGTGGATTATTATGACATTTCAATAAAGTTCTATAAAATTGGAGAACTCTTTATATATGTATGTATATATTCGCTAACCTCAACAAAAATAATAAGAAGATAGAGAAAATTACACTTTTGGTCCTGTAACTATATGAGTCTTATTAATTTTAGTACTTGACTTTAAAAACTAACAATTTAGTTCCGTAATTATGTATTTTTAACACATTTAATCCTCCCGGTCAAATCACCGGCGAAATTTTGCCGGAAAAACATAACTCATTTTAAATTAAATATACGTGGGGCAAAATTGTCAATTTAACCGTAAAAAAGAAAGAGGCCAAAGTCGCTGTTCAGTCGCTGGGCAGAGTAATGAGAAAATTCCTAATTTGATTTCAACTTAATTTCTCAAACCTACGAAGAACGAATTGTGAAGACACTCTCCTACCCTGGGCAGAACAGCCACAGTAGATTTCACCTAATTTGATTTCAACCATAAGAAATTAGAAATGGTAGGGCTCTTCTCGAGAATATTGAAGAACCTTTGCAGTGGACAGAAGCAATGTGGTCTGAGTTCACTGAAAGGGGAGTTGTAAAAAAAAAACTCGAAATTGTAGATCTATGCAGCTATCACCACGTCTCCACGCTATAACGAATTTGTTGTGCCAATATATCGACTCAAGTGTCTGGAACGCTTGGCAGGAACCAGTGCATACAGTCCTGGCCCCAAATGGCGACTACATCCTTCTTTCCCAACCAAATTGCGGGATGGGCATTTGCCCGGAGCTCGCTCAAATGAGTCAGATCAAGTATTCTGATACTCGAGCCTTCTATTGCCACATTAATGACACCGTTAAGCTTTCTTGCTTCCTTGTTCACACCATTGTTTCTGGGATCAACCCACAAGTCAAGTTGTTTAGGTATCAGTATTCATCCTTCCATGGGAGTCGCTATTAGGAATTAGATTGAAATCAAATTAGGAATTTTTCTCATTAGTCATTACTCTGCCCAGCGACTGAACAGCGATTTTGCCCTTTTTCAAAAGTTAAATTGACCATTTTGCCCCCACTTATATTTTTTTTTTTTGAAAATCCCCCACTTATATTTAATTTGAAATGGATTACGTTTTTCAGGCGAAATTTCGCCGGTGATTTGACCGGTAGGACAAAATGTGTAAAAAAATGCATAGCTACGGGGGATTTGAAGGAATGACAAATAGGAACCATGAAGTCTTGTATCACGTTATGCCCTTGTAAACTCCAAAAGAAATTTAGGATAAATTGGAGACTCAGTTCATTGAAAAATTTATAACGAATAAACTGTATCTAAAGCTAAAGCAAAATCTTTATAGTCTTAATGCATGGGGGTTTAGACTTGGCGCGTCATATTAATGCCTTCAGCCACATAATCTCATATCTGGTCAAACTTGATGTCAAGGTTGAAGATGAAGACAAAGCGATGATCTTGCTATCTTCATTACCTCTTTCCTTCGAACATCAGATGGCACTACTTTTGAGATTGAAAAGAGACTGCGAACAGGAGGCTGCAAAAGTTGAAGAAACAAGAGGCTGCGAACGTAGCAGCTAGCAGTTACTAATAACAAGTTTGAACATTGTTTGGACTTGTTGGATGTTTCCAGATACTAAATGGTGTGTGGTGCATGTAGTTGACTAATTGGTATTTGCAATAAGAACGATTGGTATGACAGGTGAACGGTTGAGGGCGAACGACTTGGCTAGTTGGTATTTATATTAGTAGTATTAAATTAAAAATATAATTATAATATTTACAAAAAGATGTCTGCTCAGGTATAAATAATAATTTGTTAGAGAAAAAATAAATGAAATTCATGTTTTACCTTTATTTTTAAGGGAAAAACATCCATTTAACAAAAAAAGGGAAAAATATGGCTTTCAAAATAATTAAAATTAATGTAGATACATATAATTTAGAAAAAAAAAATACTATAGATAACTTAAAAAAAACCATTCCTTTCAATAAAAAGTTTACTACAATAATAAGGAGATATGGCATATGAAAAGAGATTATCTAAAGTTGAAGAAACAGAGACTGCGAACGTGGTACATGCTGATAACTTAGATTATAGTGAATGTGATATTCTAGCCATTACTAGTGACAAGTTCGAACATTATTGACTTGTTAGGTGTTTCCAGATACTAGATGAAGATGTGAGGGTGCTATAGCGATGAGCAGCACAAGGGTTGGGTGGGCTGAGGACTTAGCATGAGTCACGACCGATATGACAGGTCGATGACTAGGGGTGAATGACTTGGGATGAAGCAGTTTGTGAGCATGCACCGGGGGAACGCAAAATGGTGCGGTGCGTGGTGTATGTAGTTGGCTAGTTGGTATTTATATGAATCGCGACTGGTATAACAGGTCAACAGTTGAATGGCGAATGACTTACCTAGTTGGTATTAATGTTAGTAGCATTAGTATAAAGATATAATTATAATATTTACAAAAAGATATCTGTATAAACAATAATTTGTTAGGAAAAAAATATACGAAATTCATGTTTTACCTTTATTTTTTAAGGGAAAAATATACACTTAACAGAAAATGGAAAAAATTATTACTTTCAAAATAATTAAAAATTAATGTAGATACATTAATAATTTTTCAATAAAAAATTTACTACAATGAATGAATACCCCTCTGGATCTGGCATTTTCTCTTCTCAAACAAACAAAAACAGAAAAATAGTTGAGCTTGAGTGAGTTAACCTAGAGAGATGGCCATTGTTGCTTTAACTTCTCTTATGTCAACACTTGAGCTTGAGTTTTTGCAGTCCACCTCAAGGCCAAGGCCAAGGCCAAAGCCAAGGGTATCAGTTGATGAAACTCATGAAAGTGGGTTGATGTGTAGTCTGCTGAAGCGCGAGCCAAGCGTGTCTCTTTATGGTAAAGTAGAAATGCTCCATAAAAAGCTTTGTTCTTTGCAGGCCTTTCTTGAGAAATTCAAGCGTGGTGGTGGTGGTGGGGCTGAAATCAATGATTTGGAAATCAAAATTAGAGACTTTGCGCTCAAAGCTGAAGACCACATTGAAATACAAGTCAGCAACTTTCTTCTGGGCAAGGATGGATGGCATCCACAAAAAGCTTCTCAGGAGCTCCATCAAACCTTGCGAGAAGCAGCAAAAAATGCAGCAGAGTTGCTGGAGATGCTGAATGAAGAAGATGATGAGGTGAAGATGGTCGGGTATGAGAATGTTAAGTTGACTGGATCCTCACAGTCACAGTGCTTTGAGGGCAGAATAATGGTCGGGCGTCACCATGATCGTACAGTGATAAACAACTCCCTCTTCGATGTCGACGAATATGGCAAACCAAGAGTAATTGCAATTGTTGGGATGATGGGTATAGGAAAGACTTGTTTAGCCAGAAGTATCTACAATCATCCCTCAGTTGCATCGCATTTCCAGGTAAGAACTTGGATTACTTTACCTCAAGAATACCAGCATGTGGATCAAACACTACGGGATCTTTTGTCGTCAATTTCTGGAGTAGAGCCTAAGCCAATTTCAATTCATATTATGATTTCCTTAAGTCCACTGCAATTGGAAGTATATCAACGCTTAGCAAGTCGGAGTTATGTAATTGTTCTGGATAACTTATGGGACAATTCAGCTTGGAATCATATCCAAAGATGTTTACCTCGTGGTGGCAGAAGTCGCATATTAATAACCACAACGCACTTCGATAAGAAAAGCTATGCTGATATAAAGTTTTATAAGCGTAAAATGGCTTTTCTGGATCCAAATGAAAGTTGGGATCTATTCTGCAATATCCTTTCTCCCAAAGAATCTATGGCACCTAAATTTGAAAAAATTAGGAGTGAGGTTTTGGAGAAATGTGAAGGATTACCACAATTAATTGTTGAAGTTGCAAAGCGTTTATCAAAATGCAACAACATACAACAAGAATGGAAGAAGATTGAAAAGGAATTAGAGTTGCTGGGAGTTCTAGATCGAAGTGTACTTGCTCGCATATACAATCAATTGCCAAAATATGTGAATGTTTGCTTTCTATATTTTGGAGTCTTCCCAAAACGCAGTGAAATCTCAGTTAAAACGCTTATTAGATTGTGGGTTGCTGAGGGATTTGTGGAGCTGTTGGAGCATAAAGAGTTGGAAAATGTAGCTTATGAGTATTTACAAGAGCTTGTTGATAGAAGTCTTATCTTAATTAGTAGCCGGGGCTCAAATGGCAAAATTAAGACTTGTAAGATGCATGGTAACATGCATACTTTCTGTGTAGGAGAAGCTCAAAAAGGAGGTATTTTATGTGCAGTAAATATTATGCAATTTCCAGGAGTTTCATTAAATGCATTTGCAAATTCATGCCGTTGGTTGAGTTTATACACACATAGTTTTGACTATTATGTGTTGTTTGATACAATTAACTCTCGCTCCATTTTCTTCTTTCATGAAAATCCTGAAATTTCTGTACCTCTCAAGCTGTTAAGAGTTTTAGCTTCTGTTCCACCTCCATTCTTCCGAAGAATGCAAATGCATTTTGGGGATTTCATTTTCTTGAGATACATATCTGTAGCACAATGGTTTGAAGGTCTGGATTATATAGTGTCAATTAACAGTAATTTGCAGACTCTTGTTGTTTCTGGTAATGAATCACAAGCTACTGTCCGTTTGCCATCCAAAATATGGGAGTCACCACAGTTGAGGCATCTTGAACTTGGCAATTCCTATACAGTAGATCCCCCAAGCGTTGATAAGAAGAGTTTTCAAACATTATCTTGGGTGAGTCCAACCTATTGCCAAAAGGAAATGTATAACAAGCTTCCAAGATTAAAAGCACTGAAAATTTTCCTTAATGATGAATTAGAGCTCAACTGCACTTGCGGATCTAGCAGTAATCCCATCATTTTGGGTAATCTTGAATATTTGTTAGTGCTTGAGAAGTTAACGATTTCAGTTGCTATTGACTGCACTGTAACCCTTCAAAATTGGTGTATGTTTCCTTTCCGACTGAAGGAGTTGAGGTTGAGTGGGCTTATTCTCTTTAAAACTAATTGGCAAGTTGCCCCTGCTTAGGATGCTCAAGCTAGAAAATTCCTTCCATGGAAAAGTATGGGAAGTATCAGAAGGAGGATTCCGTTGGTTAGAATTCTTGCATCTTGAAGCTAAAAACCTGGAGCAGTTGAAGGCTAATAAATATTCCTTCCCATGTCTCCAGCACTTAGGTCTAAAATTCTGTTATTGCTTGGAAGAGATCCCTCAGAGTTTTGCACATATTTCCTTTCTGCGGTCAATTGAGTTGAAACAGTTCAGCCCTTCTGTAGTCGCTGCTGCCAAGCAGATTCTAGAAGGACTGCTTCCAATACGAAGAAGAATGTTTAAGGTTAGAAGCTATATCATGCTTTATTCATATATATTTTTTAATTTTCTTTTACATTCTTTACAAAAGCTGTTACTATTTCTTTTTCTGATATCATTTCATTTCCAATATTTTTCCATAGCTCAAAATTGACGGGTCTGAATATGAGGAATAACAATATCCACAAGTAGAAGATGACTTGGCCGAGAACACAGTGAGCTAACTGTTATTAGAAAAATGGTATGATACATATATGCCAATTAATTCCTACATACTATTTGTTATATTATAACATGACTAGTTTTCTGTCTTCTTTTTCAAAAAAGGCATTTTATATTCTTTGACAGACAAATGTTTCTAATTTGCAGGGCATTAAGGATAAATTTCCTTAATCCCAGGTATTTGTCAGTGTGGGTTCCTTGTGAAGATGTATTGTCATCCGTGAAACCCTTGCTAGTGTGCTTGAGTTAACTAATGTTGGTGGCTGTGGCATGGAGGTTTATTCATCTTGTGCCTATATGAGATGATGAGATGACTTTAAATCTCTGTTTATTTTGTGTTTTGCAAATATATTCTTTCTTTGTTTTGATATGCTTTTGCAGATTGGTGTGGTCATTGAATATTTTGCAGAAAAATGTCTAAATTGGGAAGCTGGTTGTTCTCAAGCTATTGGAGTTCCAGAGGTAAGAGGAATTGCTTGGTTATTTTGTTTTGTCTCGTCTGATTGATATTTGATTTGCAAGGCTAATTAAGTGTAATTTTGAAAACTTCTCCTATTAGAATTGGCTATAAATAACCTCCAACTAATGCGTCCTGTATGGCTTCAAAGCAAAGATTTGATAGTGATCTTGGTTTTAAAGAAAGGGCTCAAAATCTTGAAGTCAGTCTTTAGGTGATATGTAACCATTTTATTTTAACTGAGCACTCGTTTTACAATTACAATATGAAATAATCTCCCAAAACTCACGCCTCTTTGATTGCTAACTCCACTTTTATAATGCAAAAAATTTGAGGGGTTAACTAACCACTTAAATGGTAGTGATAAATGGTTTACTACAATGCAGTTAAAGGCAACCAACATGGTTGGCGTGGTGGTTCAACACCTCGTCTCTTAAGCATGAAGTTGGGGGTTTAATCCCCACCCTGTGAATGGAGCAAACCATTTGGCTAGTCCCCTACCACTTAGTGTGCTGACAGTAGGGATGGGGGATTAGTCTTCTGGCTATCGACTGGAGGGATGCCTTTGGGCACAAAAAAAAAATGCAGTTAAAGGTTTAATTTTGTGATGATGATGATATCTTTCTTGCTCCGCCCCCCCCCCCCCCCCCCCCCCCCCCCACCCTCCCCCCACCCCCTTGTAAAACAGAGTAGTGAGGAGTAAAGGAAAAGATTGGTAGGAATCTGTGAAATTTTTCGAAGCAAAATTGAAAGGGTTTTCCAGCAACTTGGAGAAAAATATACTGAAATTTCTTTCTTTTGTTAAGACTTGAGATGAATGTGGATCTGTTACATACAAGAAGGGCTCATGCACAACACGTGTTAAAAAATTGATGTTCAATAAAGTAGGGGGAGTTGCTCTCCCACATGGGAGGTTGTGGGTTCGAGCCTCAGTGGAGGCGGTATTCACTCTTTGTGCTTCAGTAGGTTGAGAAAGTAGTTATGAACAGATACTACACCTTTTCTTTAAGCGATTAATACCACTGTCTTCATGTATCTGTTTCCAATGTGTGTCATAGCCCATAGGCATCAGGTTAAGATATGATAGAAGTTAAGTGCTTTGATCTATATTTTTAACCACATCTTCTTGCAGGCTGCAAATATAGGAGGTTGATTTCCATCTGATGAGAATGTGTATTCTAGCTATATTAATAAACTACTAATTATATTCTATTAATTCAAAGATCAAATCTGATTACTCTTTCTATTTGGAAAATATCACCTAGGATAAATGAAAGAAACAGTCATTTTGCCTTGCAGCCTGAAATATAATAATGATGATGCAGCATTTATGTAAGTGTTCTTTAAGAAATCAAAGATATCAATTTGACAAAGTGAGGAGTTTTATGTGATACCTTAGCTTAATATCATATCTGCAAAGTTATAGATATAGATGTAGTGATGACTTGGCCAAGATCACAGTTTAGTTAACTGCTGCAAAATATAGTATTTGATCTATTATAAAACATGACTGGTTTTCTGATTTCTTTTTCAAAAAATGCATTTGATATTCTTTGAGTCTTTGACAGACAAATGTTTGTTGATCATTTGCAGGGCATGAAGGGTAAACTTCCTCAATCTCACATAACTGAGAGTTGTGGGGGTTCCTTGTGAAAGTAAGGTGCTATTGCAGAGTATCCAAAATATGGTAATAGATGGTATTGAAACATGGGCTCAAGAGCTCTGCCAAATGGACAATATAATGGTCAGTTTATCCTCACCCAACATTGAAAAGGAGATGGATAGATGCACGTTGGTCATTTGTACGTGATGTACTGTCATTGGTGAAACCCTGTTGTGGTTGTGGCATGCATGCAGGTTGAGTCATCTGGTGCCTATATGATCAACCGAGATGATGAGATGACTTTACATGTCTGTTTTGCTGCAATTATATTCATTCTTTGTTTTGATATACTTTTGCAGATGGTGTGCTAATTGAATGCCTTGCTGGAAAGTTTCTAAACTGGGAATGAAGCTGCTAGTGCTCTCAAGTTATTGGAGATGTAGAGGTAAGATGAATTGCTTTGTTATTTTCATATTTTGTTCTGTCTGTGCCAGATTGTTATTGATTTGCAAGGCTAATTAAGTATAATTTTGAAAATTTGTCTTATTAGAATTGACTATAAATAAATCTTATGAATCCTGGCTTGCCAGTCGGGCTTACACCAGAGTCAATTAGCTTATACAGATATATTGAAGGTTTAATTTGGTTGTTTTTCCTTGGACCTTAGCTGTGAAAATGTGCAGTCCAGATGATCTAATTCAATAATGTAACTGAAAGATGCAGTATTGCTTAACCTGGTTTCCTCACTGTAGTATTATTGTCTACTGAAACATGGGCTCAAGAGACTTTTTATCTCCAAACATTGTGAAAGTAAGAGATCTAATGTTGATGTTTTTTCTTTTTGAAGAAATCAGGTTGGTGACTTTGAAAATATTTTAAACTAGCTTAGGAAGCTGCTAGTCTCAACTCTCAAGAATTGAAGATCTACAGGTAATAGTAATTGCTTGGTAACATGACTGATTAATATTGATTTGTAAAGCTAAGTATAATTCTAAAAACTTCTTCATGAGATTGATTACATTCATTTCATGCATTCTATAGGGTATCAGAATGAAAGATTTTACAGTGATCGAGCTACAGAATGCGTGCTCTAGACTAGAGATGCATCGTGTTCTTGAAATGGCTTGCAGAACCTGCAAAAATCATACTCTTCAAAATCCAGGAGCCTGAATATGATGAATCCCATATAGAAGAGTGTATAGACGACGACTTGGATGGCATGAATCTTCCCTTGGGTTTGAATACCTATCAATCTATCATTAGTGCTCTTGTTGTCAGGCCATGTTAGCCGTCTAGAGTGAGTCACTGCGAGTGTCAACTTCTAAAGAGGTAAATAGTAGGAATATAATTGTATGAAACATCCTTGCCATTTTGCTTGAGTTTTCTCATGTTGATGCTCAAAGAAATTATGTTAGTTGGTCATTCGGCCAAGTGAGTATGTAGATACATATTTCGATCATAAAGTGTCTATATGTGATATGATATGACTTTACTTTTGTTTGTGATTATGAATTGCTGGTATATACAAACTAGCAATATATGTCAAACAATAAAACTACATAAAACATGGCAATATCATTTCCAATGCAATCTGTCACCAAAAACGATCATATGCCATATGATAGGTTACCGCGCACATAACTTGAATAAAACGCACCACAATCTAAAAAATATATGCACACTAACTTTCTAGCATGTGATAATGAAAATATGTCACACAACAAACATAAACCAATTAAATTATAAGTGCAACTCGATGCTTGAAAGTTTATAAATTAAACTTATTTTGTTGGTTGACTTTTGAGTGTGTGTATAGGAGGATTAGATGGTTTGTTCATCCTTTAATTTCTTCCTTCTTTAATTCAAGTCAAATAGTGATGTGAAGAATTGATCCAAATACTCTGCCAAACTCATATTTTAATGTTATTATTATTAATGTCAATGGAAGAAAAAATTGTTTGTGTTTTAGCCTTTAAGGTAGTTATAAAGACATCTATATAATCAAATTGATAAGTTGAATAATTTTGCTAACTTATATACTTTCTCTAAAAACATTAATATGCTAAGAATCACTTTAAAATTTCGCTCTAGCAATCGGGTGCATGGGAGTTCAAATTATATTGAGAACCTGAAAAAAAAAATCCAATCTTTGTACACAAAGTGTACATGCAGAGGTGAGAACCTAAGGATTGACAGAGTGACTTGCAATTTACCTCCTTCGGACTTGTACACAAACTGCTCCAGGATACTTCTTACAGACTGAATTTCACATCTGATTGCTGCTTGATTCAGGAAGTGCAAGGGATGACAATTGATTTTGCTAAAGAAGAGAAAGTGTTATATCTGCTAAGTGCTAACGAACCCACCGAAGCAATCTGATTTGTGTCATAAACATTTTGCAACGCAATGTACAAGTGCCAAAATTTGGCATCAACGCTTGGGCTATTTTCCAATGAATAAACTCCATCTTTTGAATGATATTTCAATGTTCCCCATCAGAAACATAGTATGTGATACTTGTCATCTAACTAAGTATAAGCGTACTCCTTTCCCTTTAAGTGTTACATGTTCCAGTGCTTGTTTCGAATTAGTGCACACATATATCTGGTGACCCTTCCCAATACGCTCATTGGGAGGAGAACATTATTTCTTGACTTTGGTAGATGACTATTCAAGGTTTACACGGGTTAATCTAATGAGGACGAAAGGTGAGGCTAGAGACTTGATAAGGAGATTCCACAATTATGTTTTACACAGTTTGGTATACTCATCAAGACAATACGAAGTGACAATGGGCAAGAGTTTAACATTGCAGAGTTCTTTGCTGAAAAAGGGATAGTCCATCGAAAATCGTGTGTAGATACACCGCAACAGAATGCGGTGGTGGAATGCAAGCATCAACACGTTCTTAATGTTGCTAGGGCTCTTCGATTTCATGCTCACCTTCCATTTGAATTTTGGGGGCAATGTGTTTTGCATGCTGTCTTTATAATCAATCGTCTTCCATAACCTATGCTTGAATGGTCTAACCTCTATTATTGCAGATTATATGGAAGGGATCCCAATCTTAATGCTCTCAAGGTTTTTGGGTGTCTTTGCAATGCTTCCACCCTATCAAAGTCAAGGAACAAAATGGCACCATGCAGTAGAGGATGCCTTTTCGTTGGAATACCAGCTAATGTTAAAGGTTACTTGTTATATGACTTAGATGATAACTCTACTTTTATATCACGAGATGTGACTTTCTATGAAATACATTCCTTTTGCTGAGAAAGATCATTGTGGAGCGGAAACAATGTCACAACAGTTCGATCCTCCGATCCTTTGCCTGCCATACTGGTCACCACGCCCCTACATTATGAAATGCATAATCATGTTAGTGGTCAGCCTTATGTTGAGCATAATTTGAGCTGCATGATTCTGTTGATAACCATGTCGACGGGCTTTCTGATGGTGTTTGTGATCATGTTCTGTCAGAGTCTGCTCGTGATGGTCCTCACAGTATTACACGGGATAAACACAAGTTTCTGACCCGGTCCCTCTGTTCATGATATTCAACCTCGGCGAACAACCAGACATAGCAGGGCTCCCAGCAAGCTACAGGATTACTACTGTGACATACAATTATGAGAAATGGATCCTCACCTCATTCTTTATTCAAAGTGGTTTCGTATGAGAACCTTGTGCCATCACACAAAGCTTTCTCCATGGTTGTGATGGCTATTAACGAACCACAGACATATAACCAGGCTATTAAACATGATTGTTGGAAGAAAGTCATGGACGCTGAGATCATTGCACTTCAAGATAACAATAATTGGGAGTTGACTGACTTACCTCCTGGAAAAACGCCCATAGGATGCAAGCGGGTTTATAAGGTCAAGCTTAGAGCATATGGCACTGTTGAAAGACACAATGCGAGGCTAGTGGCGAAGGGTTACATGCAGCAATTAGGGGTCGACCGTGGAATGCAAAATTGAGTACTGCACTTCTTCGTCTTGGTTTTAAACCGTCCAAGTCCGATCCATCATTATTTATTTATTTACCGGGAAGAGTGATGAAAATTTCATTGCCCTCCTAGCATACGTTGATAATATCTTGGTAGCAAGTGGACAAATAAGTCTTATCACATAACTAAAAGCATTCTTTGATGATAATTTCAAAATTAAGGATCTAGGATCCTTAGGATACTTCTTGGGCATAGAGGCTAAACTAGATGTGTCTGGCTTGAACTTATGCCAACGCAAATACACTCAGGATATCTTGAATGAGACTGGTTCTCGATTAATGCATTGTGATGGTATACCTCTTGAAGATGCCGGTAGCTATAGAAGTGTTGAGGACAACGGAGGACAAACTAATGATATGCAAGACCCATTGTGTGTCATGGACGTTCCTATCTCACGGGTAAGGGCAAAGAGGTTGCAAGAAGCTTTAAATGGTCTCATAAATAAGTTAAACAACAAGAAGACCAAGAATGAGCTATGTGAACTTAGGGAGGGAAGTGAAGCAACATATGTCAATTTGGTTGCAGTCCAAGATTGAGTTTCAAAGAAGCTGGCCAAATAATGGGAATGAGACTTACAAATAAAAATTGAATTCAAAATTCAATTTTTCTAGCTTAACAAATTGCTCCCTAGTTTCTAGCCAATTTTTAGCCCAGTTTTTAGTTATTTCTTCTTTTTAGTTGGCTGAAAATAAGGTTGTCATAGTAGTATAAATAGCCTCTTTATTTTGCTTTGAAGGCAGACAATGTATAAGATTAGAAATCAAAGTCTTGCGCCCCATAACGCAAGTTTTCTCTCACTGGGTCCTATGTGAGCTCTTCGACTTATCAAGGAAAATACCAGCCTTGTGGCGTCATCCCCGATTTTTATCGTTCTACAGCCGGACGTGGCAAACCGCTATACACCAAAATCCAAAAACAAGAACACCTTAATTCCAAATCAACACTCCCTAAACCTACAACAAACCAACCTGTCAACCGCCTGTTTCTTTCGTTGAAACTACCATAACTACACAGACACCAACTGGACTGATCCGAAGTTCCCTCGGCAGCTCGTAGCTTCACTCCGGACTGCTGATTCGCAACAAGAAGGTTGGTGGAGAAACTATTGCAGCTAATAGCGAAGGCCGGACATTGCTTATGTTGTTCAATAGCTTTACCACCTTTTTTCAGCTAAGTCAATGCTATTCTCCAATATTTTGGGACTCTTGGGTAGAGGCTCTGGTGATTGGAATTAATTCGACGTCGTAAGGTGGAATATAATACTTAATGTATAAAAAAAATGATAAGAAGACAAATTTTCATAGCTATATATAATAATTAAAGAATACGTGATTAGTTTAAATACTATCAATAAATTGAGATAGTAATTCAACACCAAAGCTGATCAAGTAATAATCTTAAGATGCAAAGGACCTACTGCTATCTCTAAGATGATATTTGATGAAGTGTCCTTAATCAGCCAGCTTTGCTCCTTATTCAGATCAACAAATAAGCAGTAGTAGTTGTTAGAGGCCAAGGGCTTTTTGGTCTTTTCCTGTAAGATGGCAGTTATAACTGCCATCTCTTCATCTCTTCATCTCTTCATCTCTGTATATATAAGGCTGTAATCTTCTTTTCTCTTTTCAAGTTTTTCTCTCCAATAATACAACTTGCTGAGCTTCTCTCCATTGATGAACTCTATCACTTTCACCATGAATTAAGCTATCCTAACATGGTATCAAAGTGCCGGAGCTACGCCGCAGTGGTGATGACAGAAAATTAGAACGGAAATTCAGCCGGAGCTTCTTCGAATCAAAGTCCAGCTCAGATGAACATGAATCCAAGTCCAAATCATGCTCAACAAGCTGCGGATGAATTCGATGACCACTGGTACTTGCATATTACAGAAAATCCTAATCTGATCCTAGTTTCTCCACCACTA